CCCTCCGCGAGGTGCCGGCAGGCGCGGGATGGAGCCGGGGCTGCCCCCGGGGGGAGCCGCGAGCCCTGGGAACGACCAGGAGTCCCGAGTGTTTGTAACCTTAAGTGCTGCCCTCGTCCTTGAAACGGGCTGCGCTGGAGTGGCAGTTTTGTACTAGCCAACTTTGTGCTATACACTTCTTGGGATTCACTTTCTAAACAGCTCTGTGAGCATTTGCTGTGGCAAGTGCCATAACCAGGTGTCCAGAGAGCTGAACACTTTTTTTTTTTTTTTCCCTCATTGTAGTACGTTTCTTGTGTTTGTGATTTGCATCACAGCCGCAGCACCTCACTGGTTAAGCATGTCTCATAGAGATGACTGTTCAGGCTACAGCACTCCAGGAATGAGGAATGCAGAGCAGGTCCCCCCTCCTTCACCAGTACATACAGGGTGCAGAAGACATTCACTAGATTAGTCAAACACACAAAATGCCAAGCATAGTAACTTCTTAAGGGACAAGGAAAGACATGCTGGTGAGTATCTGGGTAGATGGATCAGCTGTAGGCAGAATGCAGAGATGAACTGCCCAGATAGGGCAGCTCTAGATAGGTGCAGATGGGCAGTCTGCAAAGCAGAGGAACCTTAAATCGGCCTCTGTGGAAACCTTGTGTCACCACAGTTGAGCAGCTGCTGAACAAAGCTGCTTTTGCTGCTTTATTATCCGACTGCGGATCTGGACTTGCAGCTCAGTTCTATCAGAGGCTCAGAAATGATGTTCCACGAGTCGTCTTGGTGGCAGCACTTCCCGCGATCACCTCCAAGCTCACATCCTAGCACTTTCTGATTCGATTCTTTCAGTAAACAGGCAGATGGGCTTTCATTTAGAAAAATTACTAGCAGAACAGACAGCTAATTTCTTAAAAGGGGCTCCCCTATGAAGAGCCTGGTTAAGGCAGTGTAAGGGCAGGAAGTGGTTTGAGTGGAAGTGGCTTGAAACCAGTAGAGAACATAAAAATAATAATAAAAAAGAAAATGCCATCTGCTGCACATCCTTTCAACTATCAGTGCTGAAAACACAAGAACATTAATACGCACTGTGAGAAAGAACTGAAACATGAACGAACTTCCTTTTATCCTGAGTCACTGTTCAGCATGAACGCAGCAACCAATGAGCCTTGTAGAAAAACATCCTTCACATATTTATCACTTCCGAGTTTCATAGCTCAAAAATTTTAAAAAGGACAAATTGTGTGTTATTTTCTATCAGTCTGCTAATATGATCAAACATAAGCTATACAAATACCTCAGAATTATTTTAAATACTGAGATGGACATACAAAAGAGCATCACATGTGAAGACAAGGGAGTAACAATGAGCTCTCTGGTCAGTAAATCCCTATTGGAGCAGAAGCCGCTGTCCTGAAAATCAGAGATGGTGACCTAAACATGAAGCTGACCAACCTGACATGTCACCACAGCAGCTAAGGAGCAGATGGAACATAACATGGTGACGTGCAGCCTGCACAGAGGTGTAACACCAGCAAAGTGTCTCTGGAGATTGTGGGGATGAGATTGCCAAGACTAAAACCAAAAGCATCTTCAGGATCAGGTGAATTATGTCACTTCTTTCATCTTTCCTCTCACTCCCATCAGACACACTAACACATCTTAGTTCTCCATCAAGTTAAACAGAACACAGTAAGCCACCAGATGAAATAAATGAGGAACAAACCTGGGATTTGACCTCAGCTTTAGGATCCAAAGACTCTCTCATGGAATAAGCCTATCTTCAGTTTTCAGTTTCACTAAATAAAACTAGAGTTTTCCATCCTTCAAACCCAGCCATTTTTTTTAATCTTCCTGTTCATTTACTTTAAAGACTTCCAGGTCACCCTTGTCAAGTACAGAAGCCCGCTCAGAAGTTCACTGTGCCCTGGAGTCATAGCTCCTCAGAAATCCTTGCTCTAAGTAAGTGACTCACCTATTGCAGAGCAAACAGCAGCCTGGATTTTATCTGAATGGGGACTCGAATCCCTCCCAGCCCCACTGCCTTTCTCTTGATCTTTCTTTCCTTAAAACACCTATTTCAGAAGAGTGGGGTGGCTTTAGCTCTCTTCAAGGAAGACAGATGGCTTTGGGGAGGAAATGTAATACATGTATGCTAAATATATAAGTAGGATATTGCATTTGCTTTTCATTTTGCTTCTAAAGTTTGATGGAAAGAATGGACAGCCTCCAAATGTTTATGTACAGAATAAATAATTAACACAAGAATAGAGGAAACAGCCCTTCTAGAAAGGAGTAATTAAGAGCTTTATTAAGTATATGAAGGGAGAAATATTTCTAGAATGCTATTCTGTTCTAGACCTGTTTTTTTTTTTTTTTCTCTCTCTTTCTTGTTTTGAGCTCAGGACAGGATGCTCTGCCCTTTCCTGCTGCTTTTTCAGGTTTGAGGAATCTTGATTTAGGAGATTCAACAATTACTCTGTTCTGTTGCTGATTTCCAGTGCCCCGTAGACAGCTTTCCTTTCCTACCCTATGTTCCTAAGTCCAACGAAGGAACAGGAGAAGGAATGCAGAGGATCTGGAAGGTGATGTCTAGGACAACCTAACTTTGCTAGTGTTTACAGTTCTCATAAGAAAAAAAAAAAAAAAAAAGTTTTATTAGCTGTCGGTGAGGCTTACGCCAGCCAGTATCATTCCATGTTTCCCTAGTTGCCTGCATTTCCACCTGTGAACATGTGTTGTTTTGAGGGGGTAATGTGAAAAGCAGCGGCAGGCTGCAGTTCTGCACGCCTAAACACAAGTTATATAGCGTCTTGCTCCTCTGTGGTGCCGTGACAAAAACCAGGCCAGGGCCAGCAGAACCCCAGGATTACCTGCCATCCTTCTCTCTTGGAAAAGCAACTACATCCACACAATGCCTGTTAGTTGTAAGGTGAAACTTACCGTAGATCAAAGAAAAAATAGTTTCAAGCCACGCCTTCCCTTATTTTTAGCATTTTGCATTTCTTCTTCATAAAAACATGAAGAATGATCTGTTTACTGGCCCCTTCTGTTGGAGAATGAACAGGAGACGAGAAGTCACCAAGTATATTTTTCCTGAGATATCTCATATGCAGATCTTATTTTCTCTCTGGACATTTTTATCTTCGAAAATATAGACGAAAATATTATCCTATGATGGAATTGTATTAGGATAAAATAATTTCAGGAAGAATAATGAGATTTAAACAGATGTATGTTTAGGAACTGAGGACTTGTAACTTGGGTGGCTGGGATACCGGCAACTGCACTAACTGTGAGAACTCACATTGACAGAAAGTGGAAAGAGGATAAGAGTAGGCAAAAATGAAGGGAACTTTTTTAGGCTGGTTATGCTGTAGAATAGCCTCCAGTGAAGGAAAAGCTGCATTACGGAACAAATGCTTTAGTAAACTAGCAAAACACACAAAGCTGCATTACGGAACAAATGCTTTAGCAAACTAGTAAAACACACTATTTTTGTCCATTTTATTAATACAGTTGCAGTGAAGATATGACTGCAGAAAATGAGGAGGAAAGGGAAAAGAAGAGGAAAGACAGTGGGAGGCTGCCAAGCACGTGAAAAAAAAATGCAGTATTTTTAGTCCTCCCCGTACAAAGCACATATTCACTTGGCCTTTTTAACCTCTGCAGCCTTCTGAGGCTGCAAGATAATCTGTAGGAAGAGGGAAAATAATTAGGCAGTTTTAAAGGTCTCCTTTGACTTTCGTAATCTGCTGCAATGAATGTGAATTTTAGGTGGAGGCTTTTGCGAGTGCTAATCAGCAA